CGGGACCCCGGCGGAGCCTCCCCGGGCTGCAAAGCAGGCTCCGCCGCTTGCTCGGCCGGCTGTCCCCCGGTGATTCCGGCGGGGCTGCTCCGCCGGTGCGCAGGCAGGTTGCCGGCTTCGTCCCCGCCGCGAAGCCGAGCAGCAGCCCGGCCTCGGGCTGTTTAGGATAAGGGCTGGCCCGGCGGGGAGGCGCGGGAAGGAGGAACAAGAAAAGAGGGGAGAGAAAAAGAAAAAAAAAAAAGAGAGAGGAAAAGGAAAAATCGCGGAGGCTGCGCCAGGGCGGAGAGGCGCGCAGGGGCACGGCGGGGCCGCGGTGCTGCGATGCCGGTAGCGATCGGTACCCAGCTTGGGGCGTTGGACCGAACCGGCTCGGCTCGGCCCCGGCGGGACGGGGCGGGCGCTGCCCCGGCCCCATCACACCGGACAAGCCACCGTTTGTTTGGGTTTTGATTTTTTTTTTTTTAAAGCATCTTTACCAGCCTAAAAACCGCAGCTGGCCCGGCTCTGCCTAAACCCGCTCCGAGCCGGGGCTGCCCTGCCCGAAACCGACCGCCGCTTCCCCCGGGCCGGGCTCGGTCCCGGTCCCCGTTCCGCCCCGGCCGAGCCGCCCGGCCTGCCCCCTCTCCGCCTCGCCTCTCTCTTCCCCACTACCCCCCCTCCCCCGTTTGTTTTTTTTTTGGGGGGGGGGTGCCCCAGGTGTTAACCCTTTCCCCCGACCTGCCTGAGCCGCCGGCACATCCCCGAGGGCTGAACCCGAAGTTTTCCACCCCCGCCCGCGCCGCGCAAACGGCCCCCAGCCCGGGCAGGGGGGCGGTGGGGCGATGCTGGTATCCGCAGCTCCGCAGCCGGAGGGCCCCAGCACCACGGGGGGCACTGGGGTGTATCAAAGCACAGTCACAGATATAAAATTATTCTCCCCCCGCCCCGCCCCCGCCCGGGTTGTCGCCAGCTCCGGGTGTTGCGGAAGAGCCGGGCTGGAGACGACTGCCCCGAAAAAAGCCGCTTCCCCCCCCCAAAAAAAGA